TTTTCAGTCCATACAAATTTTACATTTTTCTTTACCAGTTTATTCAATGGTGCTGCTATGGAACTGAAATTCTTAACAAACATGCGATAGAAGCTCGCTAAACCATAGAAACTCCTTACCTCACTGGCTGATGTTGGAGTAGGCCATTCTTTGATTGCTTTCACCTTATTTTCATCTACCTCAATACCCTAAGCACTAACTACAAATCCTAAAAAATTATTTTTTCACTGCAGAACATACACTTCTTGGCATTTGCATACAACTGTTCTTTTCTAAGAACCTCAAGGACAGATCGGGTATGTTGAAGGTGATCTTTTAAAGACTTGCTGTAAATTAGGATGTCATCAAAGTAAACTACCACAAATTTATCTAGAAAAGGTCTTAAAACATGATTTATAAGTCTCATGGAGGTGCTAGGTGCATTTGATAACCCAAAAGACATTAATAACCATTCATACAACCTAAACTTGGTTTTAAAGGCAGTTTTCCACTCATCTCTAAGTTTCATCCTAATTTGGTAGTATCCACTCTTAAGATCTATCTTAATGAAAATAGTAGATCCACTCAATTCATCCAACATATCATTTAATTTAAGGATATGGTGTTTATACTTTACTGTAATTTTGTTGACGGTTCGGCAATCCGCATACATCCTCCAAGAGCCATCTTTCTTAGGCACCAATAACACTGGAATAGCATAAGGGCTCAAACTTTCTCTTACATGTCCCTTACCTAACAACTCCTCCACTTGCTGTTGAAGTTCCTTTGTCTCCTTACGATTACTTCAATAGGCTGGATGGATGGGAATTGAAGCTCCAGGGATAAAGTCAATCTAATGTTCAATCCCTCATGGCAGTGATAGACCATTCGGAATCTCTTCCGAGAACACATCTTCATATTCCTGCAAAAGAGAGAAAATAGAATTAGGTAAAAAAGTGTCAAGGTCAGAAAAAGTTAGATAGGCTTTATTGTACCAAAGTACAATTAAGCTTTGTTTCTCATAGATCGCTCTCCTCACTTCTCTCACCCTCACATATAAACATTCTTTTCTATTCTCTCTCTCACTTTCTCTCATTGGGCCTTTTTTATTATTTTTTTGGTATCTTTTATGCTTAATGGGCTTTCTTTATTTCTTTCAGTCTCTTTTTCTCTCAGTGGGCCATTCTTTTTCTTTTCGGCTTCTTTTCCTTCTTTTTTTTTCCTTTTTCTTTTTTCGATTTTTCTTCAAAGGATTTCTTGAATTGGTTTGATCAGCATAGACCTCTTTTAGAGATAGAGGTGTCAAAATATGTTTTAGGCTATCTAGACGTAAAGAATATTGATTCTTGAACCCATCGTAATGTACCAGTCTATCATACTGCCATGGTCGTCCAAGCAAGATATGACTGGCACGCATGGGAATGACATCATAGCATACCTATGGAGAAGGGAATCTTGACTTGCTTGTGTACACTAATTTCTCCACAATGTAGTCTATAAGGGTTAGGGTGTTTAGTACAAGATAACCCTAACTTGTCAACTAGTAAAGTATTGGCGACATTGTTACAATTGCCTCCGTCTATAATCAGACTGCATACCTTCTTATTCACATGACATTTGGTGTGAAAAATATTCTCTCTTTGATCGTTGGAGCTTCTGATGTAATTCTCTGTCATAATAAGATGTGACAAATCTCTTTCTCATATTAGACTTCATCTCTCTCCAAGTGGATATAGGTTGGTTTCCATCTCTTCTCCTCAGAGCAGTCACTTGATCCCATCAAACAAGTGCATAATCTGTGAACTCAACAGCTGCTAACTTTACTTTTTTGGCTTCACTATAGTTGTGGCAATAAAAAATCAAGTCTACCTTCCGTTTCTACTTAAGATACGTCTCTGCATCATTCATTCCTCTAAACGGGGATATCTGCATCTTGATGGATCAATGTCATCATCTTCTCTGCAGATTTTTCTTCTACCGACTTCAATATTGTCGCAATGTGACTCGTCATCATCCTAACGATGTTGGCGTCTGGGATGACTACGGTTCCTTCCTCCATCTCTCTCATCCATTCTTGTTGCTTACCTTCAATGACTATGCTCAATCTATTGTACATGTCATCCATCATAGCCTCCATGCGTTCTTCCAAGGTCATAGGTCGGTTGATTTTACTAAGCTCTCATGTCTTCTCCTATCAAGTTGAGTGTTGGAATTGGATCTCTTGAATCAAGATAAGTAAAGTTGTCTTTTAAGACTCTGCAAAGAATCCTAAAAAGGAATCTTGTTCTTTAAAATTTCAGAAGTAAGCACACAAATGAAGAATATGTGATGCGCTTATGTTTATAGCTAAGTAGTTATGATGCAATTAACCACTTAGATGTATAATGGAACTAAAGCACTTAAAAAAGAATGAAATTAAGAGTAGAAAAAGACAATTATGGATTTAAAGCGTCAAGAATCCAATTAATTTCTGTGGATATAACCGAAATGTTATACCTAATTATTCTACTCCAATGACGGTTGCGCCCTATGACTTGAGTTTCTTTTATGCAGATACTAATGCAGAATATTGGATGTAATATTGGAAAAAAAAATAAATAAACCAAAGAGTTTTTTTGCTCTCTGCTTTTTTTTTCAATTTTTTTTTTAATTATAATAACACTGTAAAAATTTCTTTTGAAAACAAACTAAATGAATTAGCATTTTATGTAACGAGTGCTAATTTTATGTAAGAAATAAATGTAAATAGTAAATAAAAAAGATAGTAGATTTACCGAAATCTGGCTTTGATAACAACTGATGCGGAACTCGGGATCAACAATGGAATCCAAAACCTCGCATATACATCAGCAATCAAAAACTTAAAACTCTAAACAAACCTTCCCTACTTGACTCGTACTCAATAGGGGAGTGAAAACTAAGATAACTGGAAAAGAAATAAAGTATTAGAATTGAAAAGATGTCACGAGACTTATCTCGATAAGTGATTCCAATTCTTAACACAACAAATTTGTCGAAAACTGACTCACTCACTCTTGCAAGCTTGAAATCTTAAAACAAGAATACTTAAAATTTATTAATAAGCTGAATATTCTGAATTCAATTACAACTCTAAATTGAATATCTATTTATAGTGTAGGTCATGCAAATAATAAGGGAAAAATAATCTCCTAATTAATGGTAGAAATTAGATAAGAAATTAAATTTAAACTAGAATGGAAAACTATCAAGAATTAAGAAAATTACAATTAAAATAGTATATATATGATTTCTCTACGAGGAAAACTTTTTAAATAAGAAATATCTTAATTAATTGTGACTGATTTAGGAGAAGAGATTTTGTCAAAATATTTTCACTTTTTCAAGTATTTTCATTTTCTGCGAGATTCGGCATTTAAAGAGCTTTCCTCTTTTTCAAAATAGCTTGTAATTTAGGAGCAATTTTCCATCTTTGCTAATATTTAATTGTGAAGATTTCTCATATGATTAGCAAATAAAATTTCATGAGAATTTTTTCTTTTCATGTCTTGAGATTTTTTTTCTTTTCTTGTTTATTTCCCTCATGCACTTGAGGTGAATATAAGATACTATTATACCTTTAGGTTAGTGGCTATGTTGTCATTTTTTTTCGGGCTTCTTTAATGGGTCCAATCCGATCTTCCTCATTAATTTACACTTGGATAAAAAGTTGGAGAACTTGTTATAAACTTTTAGCTCTCCCCCTTGTAATGGGCTCACTTGGCATTGAAATATCCTCTCTGTCAACTTGATCCATGTCCATACTCACCTCAACAAGCCTCTGAAAGATTCTTTCTTATATATTATTTAGTATTGGCCAGAGACAAGAATGCCTTAGGCAGTCATGTCTTGGTCTGAAAGATTCTTTCTTATATATTATTTAGTATTGGCCAGAGACAAGAATGCCTTAGGCAGTCATGTCTTGGTTTTTGATGGTTCTGGCAGGCCCTTATGGAATATCCAACTAATCTTTTGAATGATTGGAGAGTAATGAAGCTTTGTTGCCATTGTTAGCTCTTTGCCAATTTTATCACTGTTTTTCACCAAGAAGGGGGTGTTCTCTCTAATTTCCTTATTACAATCTTCTCTTCCAGTTTGATGTTCCTTTTAGATTTCGTGGAAACATATTTGAAAAAGAAAGGCTTTTTCCATAGAATTTTTTTATTTCCTGCTTAGGAAGTCACTTGGGGCAAAATTCTCGCATTCTACAATCTTAGAAGAAGAGATAAAATTATAGTTAACGATTTTCCTTTTGTGATGGAAGAATACCCTGACCATCTCCTCCTTTCATGTGCAGAGGCTAGAAGGTTTTAGGATTTGGTCCTTATTCTCCTAAACCAGTCTTGAGTGGTTAGTAGCTCATCGCTGGTCAGATTTTGGCTTGGATTACATTAAAGGTGGCAAGGTAAGAAAGGAAGCCCATTTCCCTTATTCTATATGCTTTTATGTAGGTGAAATGGAAGGAAAGCAACACTGAAGCTTCTGAGAGTGCCACCTCTCCTTTTGGTTAGCATTGAAGATTACTGGTTTCAAACCCTTGAGTATTTTGTTTAGAGTTAGTTCTCTCCAATATATAGATGATTTAGGGGATCTTTAGATATATATGTACAATTTTGGAAAATGTTTGAAGTACTTTTATACAGGGGAGAGACCTCGGTGAGTTGCATATAATGCTCTTCTTTTTCTCTAAACAAGAATACTAAATCTAACCCTTCAATCTATGCCCATACTAGACAGCCAGACCCGAAGCCAAGCAACCTAGCAGTCAACCAGAAGGAAATCTCACAAACCTTGGAGGTCCAAAGATATATACCAGCTTCCAACCAGTAGAACTGGTATTTCCTTCTCTCCTCTCATCTCAAAGAAGCCTAGGTGGCTACATTGGAAGCTCTCATGCCAACCAAAATGGGAGGTAAAAAAGTTAGGACAGTGCACTCTTGATGAGAGAGAGTAAGCCGCCCACCCCTTTTTTCTTGGTTCCTTGAAAATTGAGATGATTCAATTATCATGAATTTTTATGTTTCCAAAAGTTAAAACCGGTAGAGACAAGTCTGTTGGGGGTTTCATTTATTTTCCCTTGAAAACAAAAAAACAGGAACAGTTATGTCCTCCAGGGTGCCTATTTCCTTTTTCTCTTTGACTTAGAGTGGCATAACAATTTGTTGTCTTTTTAAATAATACGTTTTCACAAGTTTGTGTGTAAATGGACTCAACTGTGTAGTTTTCTCTTGACTCTAGAGGTAATAAGAGACCGTATGGTTGTCTCCCTATAAGTATTAGTATTATCTTCAAGATGATTGCTACAGAAGATGCAAAAGATATCTTTCATTTTTATTCAGCGAGCATGACATGCATGCCGGGCAGGACTACTGCAAATGGTTTCTTCTATTTGGATTACCATTTTGTTTGGAATGGCTATATTTATCTCGTTAGTTCAAGCTTACAACACCATAGATACTTTTGGAATTGAGTACTGTGAAATTTTCTGTCATATTTTCCAAAGTGAATATCTCAGAATTTTTGTTAACCGTACTAAAATGTAATATAAAATTCATGATTTTTGAAAAACTATGCTTTATTTCTTGCTTTCAAGTTTAGATATCCTTTTTTTTTTTTTTTTGGCTAGTCTAGACGGAGGGATTTGGAGAAAGCACCTGATTCAGCTTATATAATTGTAATGTGGTATTATTAAGATTGTTTAGCTAGTGTCCTATTTAGTTATTCTTTTATTGTAAGCTTTTCAATTAACTAATTTATTTTTATATTCAGTTTATTTCCTAGGAAAGCTTACAGTTCTCTTATTTTGATTATATTTGGTGTCTATAAGTAAAATATCTAACTAAATTTTTATTTACATTGTTATGGTTATTTCATAAACATTTGTAAATGAATTAATTATTTAAAATTTGAGATATCTAATAAGTATTGGATTTAATCCCTCAATGCATTACATTCGTTTGTGACATCAATTTACCACGTTAATGTTAGTAGTATTCTTAGTGAAATTCTTTTTTGCCGTAAATTTTTTTAATACATCAGTTATTTATTTATTTATTTATTTATTTATCTAAATTTTATTGCTTTATAATAAGAGAAAGAAACTCTAACTATTCAAGTAAAAAATAATTTATTCTAACACATTATCTGATAAAAAGAAGTACAATATATTAGTCACATCTAAAGTTGAATCAACTTTTCAGTAATTAAGCTGCTTTTGCCAAATTTGAACTTCAGTTTCTATAAATTTTCTACAAAATTGTGAGATAGATTGAACTTGAGTTTGTTGGTTTTTCTACTTCTTATTTCCTTTGATTTGGCATTTTCTTTTCTATCATGTTAGCCTTAGTTATTGATTGAAGGAAAAAAAAAAAAAAAAAATTGCTCTTGCCAATAACAATTGTTATTTGTTTAGCCTTAAAAGGAAAAAAGAAAAATTGTCTTACTGTTCAAGTTCTCTTGTTCTAACATGAATAATTTATTAAAGCTACAAATTCTTACACTTGTCCAGCAAGTGCGATCACTTGATAAAACAAGCAAACATCAAACGTACAACTGTGTTGCTTTACAAAAAACCTAGTAAATACACAAAAGAATAACAACTCCTGATCACAAACAACTACAAGAATACACAATAGCAACAATATAAACTTCTCAAAATGTAAGCTAGAAACATACAAGACTATTGTTATTTTTTAAGAATACACAATAGCAACAATATAAACTTCTCAAAATGTAAGCTAGAAACATACAAGACTATTGTTATTTTTTTAAAAAATAAAATTCCTAAAACAACACTTGTTATACTTATTCCACGATCTTATTAAGATTATCAGCATTACTGCCTTTTTGACAAGCCTACCTAAACATACTAACAAAACAAAGTTGTGATAATATTTTCCATAAAATAAAAGTTGAGGCAATTCTTAGTAGCATAAAAA